AATTTAAGGACCTTGGACCAATATAAAAGTAAAGAAAAAATTACTTTAGAATTTATACTCAACATTTTCAGGGTTATTCACTAAAATTAGAAATGTGAATTAAAAGAGAATTTCAAATTTAAAGCCACAAATAGCTGAATTGGAAAAATTTGGTAAGTTAAGCATGATGCCAGTTCAGACAACTTGGCCTTAAAGAAATACTTTAGGCATCAACACAACATTAGCTTAATGAAGCAGTTTTAGTGAATAGATCATGCCTCTGCAATAGGAGTTAAATCACTTGTGTTTCTGTCCATTCAGCCTGTGACAGACCCTCTGTCCCTGAATTTTAAAGTTTATGTGTCTTTTCGCCTATCCCTTTGACCAAGTACAGTTATGCCTTATTTCACCATTATCTATTCGACTGACGAAAGAACTACCGAACGGCCGACCACCCAAATGGGGAGTGTGGCGCTTGTTAACCTTATCAACCCCTCTTAACACCTCCAAAAACTGCAAACAATGGGTGAGGGGACCCTGGGCAACAAAAAAATCCCATTATCATCCAACTGGCCTGGAACTTGGAGGCTCTGCTGAGAGATCCAAGATGATTAGGATGGTGGAATCACCTTTGTCTCTCACGATAAGGAGATCATTTAGCACTCGGACTAGCGCTGTTTCAGTGCTCTGGTGGCTTCTGACTGGAAAGGATCAAAGATGTTCAAGCTTGATAGATGGGCCTCCAGTTGAGTTGCCACTACTTTTTCAATTAATTTTGGACCATAAAAGTGGACCATAAACTGGAACAATCTGGCATTCCATTGTAGTGGTTCTGGTGTGTAACTGTTTGGCCTGCTGTGATAGAGGCTCGGATTGAGGAAATCTTGTCTCTGAAGAAGATTGCAAGTGCTTCACACGTATCCTAAGAAAAGTTTATGGGGATATGCATGCATGCTGGTTTGCAGAGCCTTTCTACTATGCGAAACAGTTGCCTAGGTCTATTGTGGGAGAGTGCAATTTTATGTGATAAAAATGAGAAAAAAATCTGAGTTATCTAGAATTGATATTCATTTAGATCTTTTGTAAGAGCGGCTTTATCCTCTGGATCATGTGTCCTGTGCCACTTTCTCTCGGGTTTATGGCCTGTTGGCTTCATTTCTTGGATAGTGCTATCAAACCACAGTGCATTGTTATGGGTTGTGACAGTGCACATGCGTGTTGGTGCAATGATTTCTAGGGTACCTCTCATTGTTTTGTTGTAGAGTCGGACTAAGGAGCGGGGGGTCTTCACAGGTGCCCATTAGTTCACTTAGATCCATATGTGATTTTACATCCAATGGCGTCACCCCTTTTAATAAGCGATGTTAAACCAGGTTCGGAGGCTGAGGTCTGGCTGATTGTGATACAATGAAGAAGTAAATGGAGTGGTGGTCTGACCAAACTACTGGATTTACAGTTACTGATGACACTTCTAGTCCAGACTGGAACACTAGATTAAGTGTAAGTGGGTGGAAGTGGCGACGATTTGTGTCAAGCCAAGTGCACTCATCAAGCTGAGGAGATCCTGCTCAAGCAGGGATAGGATGTCATCAGTCCAAGTACAGTGGGACCTCGGTTTACAAACGCCTCAGTTAATATAATTTTCGGTTTACAAATGAAAATCCATTGAAAATAATGTCTTGGTTTACAAATTTTTTTTGCACAACAAAGCAAGTTTCCCCAGGATGCATTGCATCTGGGAGGTATATAGCACTGCCCCCTGCATGCTGGAGCCTGTGGGTAGCACGTAGCGTCGAGTGTGGAGGTGTTGGAGCGGCTTTTGCATCGAGTTTTGGAGCCATTCTGGAAATTGTTTGCAGTTGTTTTGGGACTTTTTGGTGCATTTCTCAAGCTGTAGAATGGTTGGGAGCTGAGCTTCGTCGTTTGCATGCCTTTTATTGCGTGTTCTGCATTGTGGGTTGGTGTCCATGCCAGCTAATTTTGACTTTTTTCTGACCTCCAGAACGGATTAATTGGTTTTCAGTGCATTCCTATGGGAAACTGCATTTCGGTTTACAAATGTTTTGCATTTAGAAACGTCCCGGAGAACGCATTAAATTTGTAAACCGAGGTCCCACTGTATTAAAGTCTCCTTAATACAGTATACGTCTTCCAATATAAGCCATCTGGGGTGTTTAAGGATTAAGCCAGCCAAAAGGTATGACAGCTCCTTAAGACATTTCTTCCCATATCCTGGGGGTCTGTATATTAACAAGACCCGGAATCCTCTATCTATTGAGAGGCTGGTAGCTACGCATTCAAAGGATTGGGGTTTGTGGACTGATATTGGTCTGAGATTTAAGCATGATTTGGCACAGATCATAACTCCACCTCCCTTGCAATCTTGTCTCGGCGGTGGAACACCGTGTAATTGCCTTGAATAGCTGCCCCGCATTTTCATATTGCCATGATTCTGTAATGCACGCTAATTTGCATGTTTCAATAAAGTTGCCAATAATAGCTGTTTTGTTTCTTATTGATCAGGTAGGACAGTCTTGATATTCTGAGTTTTTGCTCTGTACAAGGTTTCCTTGATTTGATAGTGCGGTTTTTGTGGCATCTAGGTTGAATCACTTCAATTGGGCTTGCAGGTAGACAGGGTGGTGGAGCAGCTGTAATAGTGTCAGGAGATTGAACTTTAAGTTTTTATTTTCTTCCACGACAGCCCCTATCAGTCCCTTTGAAGATGCCAAGTGATTTTAGGGTAACCACTAGTGATGGACTAGTCTTAGGGAATCAGGTCTTAGGGAATACAGATATGAGGGAGTATAGGTGACTCCCTCAGCAGAGAAGGAGTTTAAATAGCTTCTAGTTTATGTAGGGATGTTAGCAGTGGCGGAACTACTCCAGGGAGCCCGGCCGCTCTGCGGACCCCTGCGACCTGGTCCATGCAGTAGAACCGCCGGGGGCCACATTGAAGGGGCCCACTGGGTGGTCCATGCTGTTAGGGCCACCCGATGGCAGAGTATTACCAGGGGGCCCAGTCAGCGCTTTAAGAGCATGGCCGGGCCCCCCTGTGATGACATCAGAGGCTGGGAGGAAGTGACTGCCCCGGTCACTTCCTTGCAGCAACCACCGGGAGCCATGTGGGAGGAAGGAGAGGGAGTCAGAGTGGTAACTCTGACTCCCACCAGGCTGAGCCACCACTGCTGTATGTGTGTGTATGTTTGTCTGTCTGTGTGTATGTACGTGTGTGTCTGTCTAAGTCTGTGTATGTCTGTCAGTTTGTATGTATGTATGTGTGTCTGTCTGTGTGTATGTATGTCTGTGTGTTCAGCAGTTGTGTATGTGTGTGTGTATGCCCATCTCAAAGTGTCCGTGTATATGTATGTGTATGTGTGTCTGTCTGTGTTTATGTATGTGTGTGTGTTTGTGTCTGTTTGTGTCTGTATGTATGTGTATGTCTGTCTGTCTGTGTGTCTGTATGTATGTGTGTGTATGTATGTATGTGTGTGTATATGTATGTGTGTGTATATGTATGTGTCTGTATGTGTATGTATGTGTCTGTATGTATGTGTGTATGTATGTGTGCCTGTATGTGTGTGTCTGTGTGTGTCTTTGTATATGTGTGTGTGTCTACATGTGTATCTGTTTGCATGTGTGGGGAAGGGGGGACATATGGGAAGGGGACAATAGACATATTGGGGAGGGTGGCGGGGGGTAGATGTACGGGGGGCTCCGTGGCTTCTAGTTTTGCCTCCGGATGTTAGCAGTCAGGCTTGTTACATTGCCCTGCTCTATAGGACTTAGGAGTGAGGTGTGAGATTTTACACTTCAGGCTGCATTGTAGATAACAGATAAAAAGCATGCATGCAGGTCAGATTACAAGAGTTCAAAACCAATGTGTTTTAGTGAAATAGTTTTCATCAATTAGTTTTCTTGGTGTTTAGAAATTAAATCTGAGCATTGCTAAATGGATGAACAAATGCAAAACCCAATTTAGAAATGGAGGTGAGTCCTTTTTTTTTTAGTTTAAATGTACCTTGTTTGTGGTGTTCAGCTGAAGGTATCCTTCCTGGTAGTAAGATGGTCCAGTGGAAGTATATTTCAATACATTGTGTATCTCAGTTTAGTAATGCCATCCATTTAAATTTGGTAAATCCAGTTGTGTGAAATGTGGAGTCGATATTGGCCCTTGAAATATTTGTGATAAATTATGAGTGTAAGGAGGTTAAAATTAAGATAATTCATGGAGAGGTCAGGAGCCTGAGAAAAGTGTGGAAGCCAGCAAGGGCGCCTGGGAGATACATAAATAGATAGCTCTTGGTAGACCAGTGATATCTCTATTGGATTTTGAGGTCTATCCTCAATAAAGCAAGGTTGAGTCTTCCATAAATCTGAAATTCTTGATAAATAAGGCTCCAAAAGACTACATTAATCAATTAATTACTTAAATCATTACATACTAGTGTAAGAGTACAATGGAAACATTTAAGAAAGCAGTGTAATATTAAAGAAACATTAAAGGCACCACAAACACAAATTAATGCTATAGTGGTTATGGTGTCAGGAGTGCTCTGGCACCCCCTACCCCATTGTAAATAGTCAAATCATTTTAGAATGGTTTAATTTCAAACTTGGGTTTCAGTTTCACTGGGTTCCACTCTCCACCCTGGCGTTTTCATTCTGTAGTAGTTATATATGTTTAAAGTGTTCTCTAAACAGGTTATCTGAAGGATTAATATAAAAACAAATGATATGATCACATGAGGTCATGAGCACATTGTAATATATTTGTGTTACTATTGATGTACACTGACTTATGATAAGTCTCATGTCAGTTTGTAAATAGGATACACTTACTGTTTATATTAATTTAAATACATTATAGGTATATAACAGTTTGCTGGTGATATCAGCAAGACAGAACACCGCAGTTATTCAGTATGGATCCCAGGTGTCACAAACGCTATCATGTGCATGACTGTGATACAAAAGATTTGTTTAATACATATTTTTCAGGAACAGTTGAAAAATATATCATGGATGAGGTTGTAAGATTTCCAATTGAACAACTTTACAAGGTGGCAGGTCAAGGTATGTTTAATTCCTTAATACTGTTTACATTTTAAAATGTGCTTTTCTTACTGATATAATGAAAAATAAATAAATAAACACTCCCCTTTATCTTTAATCAATGCTTCCTTGTAATATTTGTATCTAAAGGATTGTATCGAAGGCAATAATTTTTTGGTTTGATAGAACTTAACTGTAAATTTATGCTTACTTGACATTGTATTAATTTTATTATTTGACTTTGTTAGGTTAAAGGGACACTATAGTCACCCAGACCACTTCAGCTCAATTAAGTGGTCTGGGTGCAATGTCCGTCAGGTTTTAACCCTTCAGATGCAAACATAGCAGTCTCAGAGAAAATGCGCGCGCTGCACTTGCCGCTCATGCGAATCCAGCTCCAGTGACGTCGGACGGGGAGGAGAGGTCACCAGCGTTGAGGGAGCCCGGCGCTGGATTAAGGTAAGTGGCTGAAGGGGTTTTAACCCCTTCAGCGCCACGGGAGGGGGACCCTGAGGGCGGGGGCACCCTCAGGGCACTATAGTGTCAGGAAAACCACTTTGTTTTCCTGACACTATAGTGATCCTTTAAATAAACAATTCCTTTTAACGTTTACGGTTCAAAACATGTCAATGTTACATTACTGCATATATTCTTTATCATCTGACTCAAAAAAATTGTAAATAAAAATGACATATTGCACATTCTCCAGTATTTCACATTTATTGTCTACCTAAAACTCACTCGGCAGGCAGAGATTTAGAGGTTTGCATAACACTTCAGGGCTGGTTTTGTTCACGTGCCGTTTTAATAAATTAACAGTTACGTGTTCTTTAATTCTTTAAAATGGTTACTTGCTATATAAAGCTACTGGGCTTGATCAGTGTTACCATGAGCTATGTAGCAACCGATTACCTCAGTATCTGATTAGATCAGATGAATATTTGAACTCTACCTGCCAGAATCTCACCGTGCATGATATGATTTGTAGTCAAGCAGCGGCAGACAGCTTTTTTCACCCAAGTTGTTGAGAAACCGTTTTCAAAAACGTATCTTGTTTTTATTCTGTTTTTCTCTCTCTCCTTTCTGTTAAAAACAGAAACAATTTATGGTTTCTTTTTTTTTGTCAGGGAGTTAGAGTGTTAATTTGCCAAAAAGTTGGTCCTTTCAAATTTAAGACTGTTGGGAATAATACACTTTGCCTATATTGACCCAAGGCTCAAGCTACAGATGACAGGATGTTCAGTCTGTTTAAAATTGGAAGAATTAAAGTAATGTGAACTATTTAATAATAATCCTCACTGATATTCAAAATGTGGTACAAAAATCCTCTCTTCCATTTTAATCCAGATGAAAACCAGATTATAAATAAAGAAAAAAACACTTTGGATTACTTTGCTTTATTTATTATTTTATGGTGTGTCTTTTTCTCCGCAGGTCAAATTACAGGAGAGTGTCTGATTGATCTTTCTGTTGGCCCGAATATTTATCACCTGTTGCCAATTTTTGAGCATTTCAAAGACATCACTATTTTAGAATTTAGTGATCTCTGTGTGAATGAACTAGTGAAATGGAAGAATAAGGAGTCCAAAAGCTATGACTGGACTCACGCCTTTTCGATTATGGCAGAATTGCAAGGTACAAGGTAAGGATCAAGCCAATGGCCATGTTTTTTTTTTTTTTTTTTTATGAATGAGATCCTTTTTTATGTATCTGTTGGGCAGATTAAACAAAGCTTGTTCTAGGATTAATTTTACAGTAACTATGTAAGTGTAGTTATTATACCAAGGATATATTAACACTGACTGGGATAGTTTTTACATAAACTATAACATCACATTGTAGTGGTTATGGTGCTATTCGTAAGACTATTAATTGAAAGAAAAAATAATAATGTTAATCTCCTCCTCAGCAAATAAATGTTAAAAGGTCTCACCTCTTGTAATATATTTATTTTTTTCATTATTATTATTTTTTTTTTTTTTAAGAAAACCTGGCGGAGTGCTTCCCTAATTGCTCCATGGAAGAGCCTTGAATATTATTTTTTTTTAAAGTTAACATAGTTTAGCAAAATGACTTCATACCATGCATTGCACGTCTAGTGTTTCATGCCTTGACATAGTATTTAAATGGACACTATAGTCACCTGAACAACTTTAGCTTAATGAAGCAGTTTTGGTGTATAGAACATGCCCCTGCAGCCTCACTGCTCAATCCTCTGCCATTTAGGAGTTAAATCCCTTTGTTTATGAACCTAGTCACACCTCCCTGCATGTGACTTGCACAGCCTTCCATAAACACTTCCTGTAAAGAGAGCCCTATTTAGGCTTTCTTTATTGCAAGTTCTGTTTAATTAAGATTTTCTTATCTCCTGTTATGTTAATAGCTTGCTAGACCCTGCAAGAGCCTCCTGTATGTGATTAAAGTTCAATTTAGAGATTGAGATACAGTTATTTAAGGTAAATTACATCTGTTTGAAAGTGAAACCAGTTTTTTTTTCATGCAGGCTCTGTCAATCCTAGCCATTGGAGGTGTGGCTAGGGCTGCATAAACAGAAACAAAGTGATTTAACTCCTAAATGACAGTGAATTGAGCAGTGAAATTGCAGGAGAATGATCTATACACTAAAACTGCTTTATTAAGCTAAAGTAATTTAGGTGACTATAGTGTTCCTTTAATATAAGTTATATTTTACATGGAATTTCAAACATTCCTTTTAGGTATTGGTAAGGGAATACTTTCAACAATTTAGCAAATTGTGTAACTGTAATAGACAATTCCAAATGAGGACAAAATGTTGTAGATCACATGCCGTATTTGTATCCATTGTATATATGTATTAAATATTTTTCAGCTTCAAAGGGAATGAAATAGAAAATGCTTTAAGAAGAAAAATTTCATGCATTTTGAAATGTGATTTCACCAAGAAAAATGTTACAGATCCGGTTGTTTTACCAAAAGCTGACTGCGTGCTCAGTATGTTTGTCTTGCATGCGGTTTCTGAAGACCATGACGATTACGGCAGGAACCTGAAAACAATTGCATGCATGCTAAAACTGGGTGGGCATCTGCTGCTATTTGGAGTATTCAATGCAAAATTCTACTCTGTAGGCGAGAGCAAATTTCACATATTACCATCTGATGAAGAGTCCATAAAGAAGGATCTGAGAGAAGCAGGATTTGTTATCGAGCACCTGGAGATGGTAGAAAGCAAAATACGCAATGAGTCAACATATTGTGAACATGTCTGGTTTATTAAGGCCTTAAAAGTAAGCAATGTAGTTGTATAAAATGTTATTTCACCTAATCTTCTAATCCTAATTATGCTTACAACACGAATCCTCCTTTTCCAGAATGCATTATGAAGATAATACATTAATTAATAATTAAAAATTATTTAAAAAATAAAAAAGACTTACCTTTAATATTATTAATGCTATTGACACTTGCACAGTAGTAAGCAGACCCTCCTTCATCAGGAGGAGACTTACAAATCTGGATCCAGTCATTGTCGTAGGAGACCTGTCCCCATCCAGGGATGACCAAGAGCTCAGTTCATGTGGTACATGTTGCATGCACATATTGCATACCGAAGTAACAGGTCTGGTGGTTGAGTGATCCTTTAACATTGTTATGGCTAAATTTAGCATGAATAACCAATCCATGAACAAAATTAATTTTGACAAATTTTACTCCATTCACTTTACAGTACATTTACAATACATTTTGCTAGAATGTAGTCATGAGACACACAACAGACAGGATTAATATAGGTACAAAAAACAAAAATTTAATAGTAGCACTGTCAAAATCTACTATTTTGGTTGTAGAATGTGTACTTCTATATACATGATTGTACCACTGATTATATTACTACTAGTACTGCTACTACTAATAATGAATAACGTACAAAAGGATTTTGAAATTATTGAAATCTAAAAGCATTTAACAAACACAAATAAAAGGATATAAACAGTTCCAAAAATTATTTTTGTTGAATAGTTCATTTGTGGATGTTTTTATATTGATTTCAAGTTAAGCAATCTTTGTTTTAAGAGAAGTTAAATGGAAAAAGAAGCCATAGGTATATTATTAATTATTATGATAAAATAACAAAAATTACAAAAATATATATATGAAAACATTAAGAAGGAAAAAGTGAATAAATTAGAAGAAGAAAAACTGCCCTTTTTCTAAATCACCATAAAGCTTTAGGTGTTGTGTGTAGTATATATATTAGGAAAGCAACATTTCAGGGGACAATCCACTGCCCAAATACAAAATAAACATCATTGTTTAGTAGATATACCCCAAATGAATACTTTTATTTTTTTTTTAGGTTTATCTAAAAACAGTTTGCCAAAGTTGTAGTTCTACCTTTTCTAACACTTCCTTTCTAACACCGCCCAGACTTCCTGTGGCTGTTCAATCACAGACTTCCCAATGCAACTCAATGAGAAGTCTTTGCAAGGCAGGTGCACTGGACAATTGCTGCCTATTGAGTTTAGCTCCACTGAGCCAAATAATCCAGGAAGTAAAAGGACCGCTTGTCTGATTGACAGCCAAGGGGGTATAACAAGGATAATTCATAAAAGTGTCAATTTCTATTGAAAAATAGGAAAACGTTTGCAAAATGAAATAAAGAGGACACGATCTTCACACCTAAAGCTTTTCAGCAAGCTAAAGTGCATTAGGGGTCTAGAGTGTCGCTTTAAATTATCAGGCAAAATGACAAAGATTCTGAGTTTGAGGCACATGAAACAGTATTATGTTCTGGTTAAACTGGCATAGGAATTGTATATTGTAACAATATATTTCCAGGCCTTTGGGGCAATATACCTTTGCTGAAGGAACAATGTTTTAGTTTGCCCATACTATACCTAAAATTCACTTTACGAGTCAACAGACTAGCATTAGAAAATACCTATTTTATATAAAACAAACTTGTTTCTCTCTAGGAAAGGGCATTACATGAACACTCCCATCCCCATAACAATGTAAGTTTATACAGTAATATGTATAGTACTTTTTTTCCCAAGGGGCACCTATTGTTAGACTGAGAGCATCAGTTGCCTAGCTATCCCTTCCTCACACTGCACCGCATAGAAAAATAAAAAAAAAAAAAATTAACCCCAGAGAACAGGCTGTAGATATCAGAACCACTACTTTAAGCTATTGTGGTTCTGGTGACTATAGTGCCCCTTTAATGTCTACAGACTTGCAACATATAAGGAATGCAAAATCTCCTTCTTCATGGACTTTAGTTGGATCCAAAAGTCTGTGTGTTATTGTGATAGAATAAATGATGTATAGCAATAGCTCCTCCATCTTGTATCGTTACTAGTTAACGGTTAAGTTAAGTTGTTTTTGTTTATGTAGCAATTAAATCGTCTTGTACAGAACTGAAACTGTTCCAGGGAACAACACCTAAAGATAGCATGCAAGGCATATGATTCTTGTTAAAAGTATCATGTAAAAACTGTGCCTACTTTGTTTTAACTGTATAAATATGCACCGTTTGTGCATTAAAATTGGAATCATTTTAGACTGACTATACTTTATCTGTATACTAACTTGGTGTCTGTGTGACTGATTCTCCAAGCTCGTAAACTATGCATGCTGATTTGGAGCCTTAAATCATACTGAAGTCAGAAGTTCGGTGACCTAAAACTTGGTGCCGAAACTCGGGTCCTAGCGACTGCTGCTCCTCCGGACCTCGAGAAAGGTGGACCCTCCAGTGACTGTGAAATAAAATTTGCAGCACGGTAAGAAACTTTCTCTTGCAAATCATTGTTTCACACTCACGGGAAGGCCCCTTTTGTCTGGTTAAGTGTGCATGCTTTAAAAATACTAGGTCCCAAGAACAAGTGTTATGGTATGATTTAATGGTGTTTTTCAGTCTAATAACATAATGGTCAAAAATAAAAAAGAGGGTTGGAGTCAATCACAAACATATACACAGGGTGCTGAACTGAGAATGGGTCAGCATACCCTATATAATCTACATATAAAAGAAAAAAGTCTCAGGCACTCACTGTGATATATTCAAAGCAGTTTTATTGGATCCGCAACGTTTCGACCTGTACCCAGGTCTTTATTAAGCTCTGCTAAACAAGGGGCTCTGGACACAGTCTGACATATTAGTAGTGTCGGTCTCTCACTCTCCGCTAACCCATGTGCGGACTCACCGATGCTTAGTTCATTTACGTCCAGCCATTAGGAGCATCTCAATATGGATGTGAACTCTCTGGCTCCATTATTCCTTTAGCTATTGTTTATTTTGTATATACTTTATTTTTTGTTTTTCTGGGGGGAGCAGGCTAGAGCAGGCATTTTGATAAGGGGTGCCATCGAAGACACAAGATTTAGGAAATTCAGTACTTCTTTCTGTCCATATACCACACATTTTTTATTCATCTATGATAATTCATTTAACGGCTGTCACGGTATCGGCGGAGAGTTAACACCACTAGTTAACTATTTCTCATCCTGCCGTTTGACTTTACCAGTTTAACACAAAATAAATATGCCGCCATCATCTCGGCAGTCTGTATAGCAACTGCTTATATATTTGCAAAGCATTGCCCTCAGGCTTTTCTATCTTTGTTGCAATCTATTACCAAGTATTAACCCCTTGCTTTATGTAGTATCTCACCTACATCTTGGGGCAATATCGCTGACAACTGGTCGGCTGCATATACCAGCAGTAATAATATTTCTCCCTTTGGTTATATCTAGGCAGAATTTTACTATCCATGCCGCCATCATCTCGGCAGTCTATATAGCAAATTGCTTATACATTTGCAAACCACTTCTTTTTGTTATCTCCATCTTTGTGGCAGTCTATTATCAAGTATTAACCCCTTCTTAATGTATTATTTTACTAACAATTTGGGGCAATATCGTTGGCAACTGGTCGGCTAAATAAACCAGCTGTAAAAGTATTTAATATTTTCCCTTCTCGCTATATCTAGACAGTATTTTACTAACAGCATTATATACCACATTAACGCTGTAACATTGTCGGCAGTAATGAATATTCATCACCTAGAGTAACTGGTTAATCTATACCACTATATCTCAGCATAATAATGCTAACGTTACAAATTAATACTAGATACCTGTGCTCTTCTCTATGTGCCTTTAGGCATTACGACTACTTCTTTGCTCAATATTACTGCTAGATAAATCTCATGCAGCAACTAATTGGCTTGCTCTCCAATTTTGTATTGTTCTTCCCTCTGTAAAGCAATAAGTGGCAACAAGATATCACTCTGCCACTTGATTCTGTTCATTTCCACCACGAGTTTTTGTTTAGACAGTGCTACCAGTGTATTCATACTGTTACTATTGTACTTACCATTGCAGCCTGTCCTATCCGTTTGAGCCACACTAGAGAGAGTCTCTTTTCTCCTATTTGTTTTTAGCTACACCTTTTTCATATTTATTCAATAAAAGTTATATTTTATGTAGGATAGGTGAGAATATTTACAACATTAAAAGAAAATTTTAAAAACATCAGGTCTCACTCCATTTTAGGGACCACAACAATGGTGACCTTTTAAAGGCCTTCAGAAGATATATCAAGATTGGAGAGAAGGTGACTTTAACCAGAAAACGGGGAAGGTTGAGATAAAGAAAATACATGCCTGGAAAATATAGACTTGTGAGCTTAACTTCTGTGGCTGGTAAAATATTTGAAAGGTTATTTAGGGATAATATTCAAGAATTCTTTGAGAAGAACATGGTTATCAGCAAAAATCAGCACGGTTTGAAGCACAGATGAAGCACAGATCATGTCAAACTAACTTGATTGCGTTCTACGAAGAAGTAAGTAGAAGTAAAGATCAGGGTGTTGCAGTGGATGTGATCTATTTGGATTTTGCCAAGGCATTTTATACAGTTCCACACAATAGATTAGTGTTCAAACTCAAGGAAATCGGTCTAGATGAAAATGCTTGTTCTTGGGTAGAACATTGGCTTAAAAACAGAGTACAAAGAGTTGTCATTAATGGTAAATTTTCAAGCTGGACAGAGGTGGCAAGTGGTGTCCCTCAGGGGTCTGTTCTAGGACCCCTTCTATTTAACATGTTTATAAATGATCTTGAAGACAGCATTGAAAGTCATGTTTCAGTGTTTGCAGATGACACAAAACTTTGTAAAATAATGCAATGTGAGCAAGATATTACTTTGCTGCAGAGGGATTTAGATAGACTGGGGGACTGGGCACTCAAATGGCAGATGAAATTTAATGTTGAAAATGCAAAGTTATGCACTTCGGCGTAAAGAA